AAGAATTGAAAATCACATGATTTGTAGAACCGATATATAATTTTGGAGAAATTTAGAATTTATGTATATCAGAGTTGCGTATATTTTATTCGATTAACGAATACAATTTTACTCGTAGAATTTACAGGGTGATTCACGGAACTGTAACAAGCTATATCTTCGTTTTGGTTCGAGTTAGAAGAACATGTTAGAGGAGAAAGTATGGTCTTGAAGGGGTCATAATGTGAAATAAATAGTTTTCTCGTAGGTGAATGCGTAAAGCTCGTGTAAAGATCATCGACGTTTTTCTAAATGGATACTCTCTTATATTTTTTTGCATATATCGAATCCTTTTTCTTATCCTGCGTAAAAAGTGTTAGGGTTCCGGTTTTTGAAACAGTTATGAAGAACCGAAATGTTCTCATAACTGTCATAAGGTATATCGGTTTCGGCTATTGCATCGGTTCTATAACTGTTATTTTTCGGTTCTGAGTTTTAGTTATGGATTTCGGTTGTAATTCTATTTCACGTAACGAATACATTGTATTTTTTGGAGGATTGAAAGTAGAGATTCTGAAATTCTTTGCGTTATTGACAAGCTGCGACTCTAAACATGTGTCAACTAATGCACCCCATAAAGTATCCGCATAACTTCGAGATGCCCGACACCATCTGGGGTTTGTCCGTCGACAGAAACTATATAACCTTAAGAGGCTACGCGAACCCATGACGCTGCCATAAATTGACCGAAAGCAAAATAGCGTCAGACTATCTGTCTTTGGTTTCTTTCAAAAATAAGCATCAGTTGCAGGACGTAGGAGCCAAGTGCAATTCTGTTTCTTTCTTAAATCATTTTAATAAGTTGTAATTATCATATCTCCACATTTTTAGATTCTTTCAATTTTATCACTATTCTACGTTTCACCTACACATTTTCCCATAAATGAAAAATCCGCAATCTAATTGTAAGTTACTACACATATGACATACATACATTTATAAGTAATTTAAAAATTATGAATAAATGTTTGCGAGTTGTAGAAGCAAAATGTACATTACATGTATATATGTATATTGTGTAAACGTGAAGCCTTAAATTCGAAATACAGTAAATTCAACTAAATTGACGTTCAGATTGTGCACAAAAATGGACAATTTGGGAACAGGAGATATGATTATTCGAGCCTAGCAGCTCGTTCTTATAGTTGTTAATTGTCCATTTTTGTGCACAATATGAGCGTCAATTAAGGAGAATTTACTGTGTAACCGAATTGCACAGTCGAAGTGCATAACCGAAATCCAGAACCGAAAAATAACAGTTATAGAATCGATATAACACCGGTTCTCAAGAATTAAAACCGATATAAGTCAGAACCGATATACCATACCTCATAACTGTTACGAAACTTTTTCAGTTCTCCATAACTGTTTCGGTCAGAACCTACATGTAACGGTTTGAAACAGTTATTTCCGGAACTTTTTCAATCCCTGGTATATATCATTTCATAAAATCAACATCCAAGTTTATAAAATTTATTATATCTTCTCGATTACGAAGTCCGAACCGTCTGATCATCGAAGTTTCGCTCGGAAGACAAATTTCCGAAGGTTCCCTTAACCCATCGAAACCTCCGCATCGCTTACGAAACGATAAACAATGAACAATATAAATTAGACGAGCGCGGCATTTGCTACGTCATTCGAGTTAACTCGACGCATCGAGTATCGAGATGCAAGATTGGCCAATCATCCAGTAGTCGAGCTCCACAGAATCGTGTCCGACGATCTGGCAGCGATTAAAGCATCTCACCTGCTGAAAATCCATGAAGAGTTTAATCCCGACGAACGCGCAGAAGTAGCTGAAACTCGTGCTGATACTCGAGCCGAGGCCGCGATACTCCAGGGGAAAGAGCTCGCCAATCAATAACCACGAAATTGGCGATATGCCCAGAGCCAGAGCAGTCGTGAAGACGAGCACGCAGAGCAACGGTATCCAGTCGTGTTGACCGACCACCGCGGTGTCTGGATACCCTAGATTCTGCGTCTGGGACATGTAGTACGCGTAACTGCCGAAACCAGCCAACGCCAACGACATGAACACGGTGCTGGCTATCAGTAACGGTAGCCTGCCCACGATGTCGATCAGAAATCCTATTCAACGAAACAATTATTATTCCACCGTCACGAAGTTACGGACCAGGGACCAGGTTCATCGAAATCAAGCCCTTAACGCTAGGTTTACGAAGCACTAAAGAGCAGCTGTTTTTATGTTGCTTCATAAAAATAACAAGCATATCTTTCTTTAGATTTTTAGCGATTTTTATCATAATATATGTCCAATGAATCAAATTTATTGAATAAATTCCCGATAAGTTTACATGGGGTGTCCTGCAACGAACTAATTTATTCTATAACCTCGTTTGTTATAGCATCAATTCGTCATAGGATACACTGATTGATATTGATACATAGGGTGTCCCCGAAATAGATGATCAAACTTTGGTATCGTATTCCGCATCTTCTAACGATGAGAAAAAGTCGTATAAACATAGATCCGGAACCTCTTCGTTTTAAAGATAATAGCAAATTATAGTAAGGTAATCAATAATGTCAGCAATTAATATTATCGTCAATTTGGCAATGCTGAAAATTTTGATTGCCAAGGCATGTGACAAAATTCGAAATACAGTGAATTATACAGTCAATTTGGGAAGAGGGGATACGATTATTCGAACCTTGCGGCTCGTTTTTCATAGTTACCGATTGTCAACAACTATAAAAACGAGCCGCAAGGCTCGAATAATCGTATCTCCTCTACCAAAATTGTCCATTTTTGTCCACAATCTGAGCATCCATTAGGGAGAATTTACTCTACACGAGGACTTTTTGAACGTATTCGGCAGTCTATGGAACATAGGCTGCCAGGGAAGTCATTTTCAGTAATTTTTTTAAGCAAGTTACAATTCCTTAAAATCTAATCTCGCAAACGAAAAGTATTTATCTCGAAAACGATGAGTTTCTGGACCTATGTTTATAATGACCTCTTTTCATCACACGATACCAAAGTTTGATCACCTATTTTAGGGACACACGGTACATTACCGATTATTATTACCAAAAATACTGTGCAGTTATTACCGAATACAATGGTTTCACACAAAATAGGATAAATTTAATATGAAATGAAAAAATATAAAAACATGCAAATATACATAATAGAAATGGAATTCATTGTATTTAAATTGTACACATTGGACATATAGTAATGTCTCCCTAATTGACGCTCAGATTGTCCACAAAAATGGACAATTTTGGAAGAGGAGATACGATTATTCGAGCCTTGCGGCTCGTTTTTATAGTTACCGATTTTCAACAATTATAAAAACGAGCTGCAAGGTTCGAATAATCGTATCACCCCTTTCCAAATTGTCCATTTTTGTGGACAATCTGAGCGTCAATTAGGGAGACATTACTATATTGCGACTGTTGCGATTTGGATGAAAATTGAAAGGACTAAAATCCATGTTAACGAGCAACATTACGAACTCATGAAGCAAAGCTTGACGTTGAAGTTGACTCGGATGCGTGGGCAAATATCGAACCTGGTCCCGCCGCAAGCGGTCTAATCAGCATTCAGTTACCTGACAACAAAGAGGCCAGCAGTTGCACGAAACCAATGGCGATGGTCGCTCCGTGGGGGTTCATCCCGCCCAGCGTCTGCCGGAAGATGATCACCGCGTAATAATTGAACGCGTTCGCGCCGGAAAACCGCTGGAAGAACATCAGTCCGCACGTGATCGCGATCGGCTTATACAGCCTGGGCGTGAACATGCTGTTTCTGAACGTGAGCTCGTACTGCTTCGCTCTGGATGCCAATATGTTCGTCTTGATCACCTGCGTGGGCAAACAAAGTTTTACAGCTCCGTTATTGACGATCTTACTATCTTCGTGAGATTCATACGAAATTCATACACAGTGTGCGATATTTCGACCATCTGGGCGGGCTTAATTCTATGCACGTATTATGTATTTTTGATTATAATTACTTGGAACGTTGATTTATAATTATTTTTAATTTTTATTTTCTTTTTGTCGGACGAACTGAACGCACATTGTTGCCGTCGGATGGAACTACGTTTAAGAAAAGATAGTAGAGCTATTTTAATAAAAAATGACGAAATTTTCAAATTTACAGCAAACTATCTTTCAGTTTTCTAGTAACCAAGATTTCATTTCAGATGCTCGGTAAAGAACGAAGCAATCTGGAAATGGAGGGTTCCTGAGGTCATTTGAAGTAACTTTTTCCTTAGCGAAAATGCAAATCGCGGCTTTGTTCACGAATTATTAACGTAAAACCGTGACCAATGAGAGGCGAGATCAGCTGGCGCGAGACGACTGACCAATGAGCAGAACTGAGCTTCGCATGCACTCGTTGGCTGGGCCGCCTCGCGCCAGCCGAGCTCGCCTCTTATTGGTCAGCGTTCTTCTTTAATAACTCGTAAACAAAGCCGCGGTTTGCATTTTCGCTAAGGAAAAAGTTACTTTAAATGACCCGAGGAATCCTCCATTTCCGTATTGTGAGACATTTTTGGGACGTTCTGTATAGTTTTCGTCTTCAGAATATTGGTATATAATCAGAAGCTCTTCGATTTTATGCGATTATATTTTGCGAAACATCATCTATTCCATGTAGACAATTTTTAAATACAAAATATTAAAAACGGTCGTGAAAGAGTGGATTAATACAATAATAAGAGTGGAATAGTATAATAAGTAGTATAATAAATAGTATAATAAGAATGGAATAAATACAATAACAATGAAAGTTCAGTCAACCAATCAATTTCTGAGAGATCACTTCAGTCATATTTATCTTAACTGAACGCAATTTAACACTTAGCACTCCGAACCATTCTGGACGTTGGCTACCAGCTACTCAGCGCCACTTTTCGGCAGAAACGGGCATTTACAGACCCTCGTATTATTTAGTATGGTTTTGGAACTAACTAACATATTATAATGATATTGGGCTTATATGAATTTGGTTGAAATCGAGAAATTTGCAAAAAAATCAATATTTTATAATTTTGTTATTGTTTGTTTTATAATTTTGTTTTGTTGTTAACTGTAGAAGAAAACCTTCTACAGTTAGAGTCTTTCTAACATATCTGTATAAACGTCTATCTGGAACTCATCTTCGCTACTACTTGTGTCATGAGACTCATTCGTGTTTGAACGTTTTGCCATTGTTCTAATAAAAAATATGAATAAATACATAGGTTGAAAATTTCTAATTGTTATTACTAACTCACAAGATAATATTTACCAAAAAAACTTTTACCAAACAATTTATTTACCAAGAGAAGAATCACTTTTCCGATTTTCTCACTCGTTAGATCTATCTATGCCGCTCGACGCTTCAAACCAGACTGAGTTCAGCTTTGAAAATCTTTTCCTCCAGATTTTATGATTATAAATCTCACTATACAGTGCGTGCTATGTTCGTATACCGATCTTTCTTCTACAAACTTGCCTTATCGCTCTTTTCAAGTGGCGCCTTTGAAGTGCTCGGACCGTCGTGAGCACGCCTCTCACGTTCTCGCCAAAACCCGCTGACATTTCTTGTCTATAGCTTAGTAATTGTACTATATTTTGATTTGATTTCTTGTGCCATTTCAAGAGAAAACTTCAGGGAAACATGCATGTCTGAAAAAGTTGCGCTGAAATAACTCAATTGCCCGTAATCACTGATAAACTTTAATGTTCCATGAGAGGGGACAGCGGAGTGCAAAGGGTTAATATTAAGAATAATACTTATTCTGGGTGACCGAGATATACTGCTTTCAAATTGAGGGTAACATGGAAATTTTTTAAGAATATTCAATTTCGGAATTAAATCCACCGAGGTTGTCGAAATATCGCACTGTGCGGCGGGCGCCTCGAGTGTAGACGTTACCTGGAGCTCGTGTCTTATGTCGACGTGATCGCCGCGCAGCCACTGCAGGCTGTTCGCAGCCTCGTCGTCTTTCCCGTTGAGGACGAGGTACGACGGTGTCTCCGGTATAAAGAACGTCCCCAGAAAGAGCATCGACGGCGCTACTGCCACCAAAAGCGCGCTTTGACGCCAGTTTAGGTACGTGCCAGCTATGTACGACAATAACACGCCGACGTGACCGAGAACCTTCAGCATCGCCGATAGGCAGCCCCTGATACCCGGCATGGAGATCTCCGATATGTACACCTAGTTGGAACAAGACATTCGGGCTTGAACGCTTTCGTGGTTGCGACGGGGAGACGCGGACGTTTCTCCGAACGATCCGAATCTAGTTCAATCTTATTTATTTGATTTCACGAGGTCAGATTTAGAATACCTTTCCCGAATTGTTGGAAATATTCAACGGCTCTTATTCATATAATACTGTTTTAGGGGCAAGTTTAATTGGACTTTTTCAAAAGCAATTCTAAATGAGAGTAATTGATTTTTAAAATTATCTTCATTTAGTTACGATTACTAGGCTACGGATTTTATATGTTTATAAAGTGAATATAGTCGGTTATTTATTTTTGGTTAGATAGTTAAGGGTACAATATCAAATGCATAAAAGCAGAGACATCTAAAGAATTAGGAAACATTCTTGTATTATTTTCAACTCACTGAAATGATCGAGAATTAAAGTCAGTGTCTGCGTAGATCCTATATTGTGCAATTAATGGAAATTTTTATTCTACATAAAAATTCTCAATCTAACGATTTTCATTTAAAATTATAGATAAATGAAATTCTTTCATAGCCGAAATTCAATATAATTTAAGTTTAACATTAACAATTAACAACATAAATATCATTAAATGATGTTCTATTCCAATCATTTTTCCTAATTTTTCTACGCTATGTTTTTTTGAGCAATATACAGAGCGGACCGGTATTCCGAGCAGGGGGTGATTCTACATAAAAAAATAAGAAACAAATATGGTATAACATTCTTTTATGCGAGGCTCCGTTTTTGAAAAAATCGACCTTAAAGTATGTTCATCTTTCTAAAGGGTTTAATTGTCGTCTATTCTTCTACCGCAATTATTTCCACCCGAGATAGTGTTTACAAATACATATACCGTTTTCTTCATAGTTCGCAACAGTTAACGTTTGTAAACACTATCTCGGACAGAGGCAATTGCGGTAGAAGAAGTAGGCGACAACTATATATAAATCCTATACAAAGATAAACAAACTTTAAAGTCGATTTTCTCGCGCGCGAAAACGGAGCCCCGGGTAAAACAATTTTGTTTCTTATTCTTTTCATGTAGAATCACCTTCTGCTCGGATGTACAGTAAATTCTCCCTAATTGATGATCAGCTTGGAAACAAAAATGGACAATTTGGGTAGAGCATATACGATTATTCGAGCCTTGCGATTCGTTTTTATAGTTACCGATTGTCAACAACTATAAAAACGAGCCGTCGATTAATCGTACCTCTTTTTCCCAAATTGTCCATTTTTGTTTCCAAATTGAGTGTCAATTAGGGAGAATTTACTGTACTATGAAATATGGCCCACTCTGTATAATAGAGTCCCTCTCCAAAAAATCCAAGACACTTAGTCCAGTTTAAAAAAAAAGTGATTGCATTTTACAAGGTGTTCGAATACTTTTTGCCAGGGGGATGGTAGAAGCGTAGAACGATTTCTACATTGCGAAGAACAAGCGACCCGCATACCTGAGCGACCATGGTGATGACCGAACAACAAAGTCCTCCGATGAAGCTGGTGACGTAGACCAGTTCGACGCAAGGCGCGATGCCCGTGAAGATCCAAACCGCCGCCAAAGGCATCGATGTGGAACGCAGCGCCAGCCGACGTCCTCTTCTCATTATCCAATCGCCGATCATAGCGCCGAACCATGCACCGAGCATCGATAAAGATGCGACCCAGGAGGCTTCTTGTTGCGTCACGGAGAAAGCCGACCTATGACAAATCGCAATACGATTACCGACGGTTACGGGGGTGCCGTCTAACGTAACGCTGCCACCTAATCGTTCCCCTAATGTGTACCGAGAGCCACCTTAGTCGAGACGTTCCCTGTCGCCTGGCCACGATTAAGCCAGCGCGCGAGCACAATCGATCGGCCTGCGTACAATCGATCTTCGTAACCGGTTCAAGGATAGATTACAACGTTCGTTGTACTCTCTCGCGAATATGGGCTGCTGCTCTTGTCCGCAGGGGATTCGGGGCTTAATCGTCTCCCTTGCTGCAGATTTGCTTGTTGATTGGGTTATCGAGGGAATGGATGGGACTACAAATTAATAATTTCGGGGCAATTAATTGTTGGACCGCAGGCGGAATTAGGGCTGAGGAACCAAATGGTTCACAAATTTCGATCGCCGAAAGCTTTCTTAGCACTTGTAAAAAGTTGATGCAGGTCCCTTGAAAATTTAGTAATTCATTTATTTATTTTTTTATTTATTTATTTATTTATTTATTACTGCTTTAAACCGGATGACTAATTTATCAAACACAGGATTGTTACATGTGCCTAAAATTTGATGATAGATTATTTAAAGTGAAGAATATATTTATTTTTAAGAATATAAATTGTTGCAAAAAGTGTTTCTAATTAAGTGTTCTTAGTATTGAAGAAGAAAAATTTAAACGAGTTCCATATTGTTCCGCTTTTTATGTATTTGGATAAAGATTTTGCTGTTACACGACTGGAACATTAACTGCTATATATAAAACAAATTATGAAAGTTAGAAATTATGCACAAAGCTATTTTTCAATATAATTTTTTGTCTAACGGATATGGAATATAAGACGAACGCAGTTTTAAAATAAGAAAAATAGGAGCGATATATTGCATGACAACGAAAAAACAATGATAGAATTGCTGCAGAATTTTGGTTATGTCTCGGATAATCACAGACAATCGAATGTACCAGATAATTAGGCTACATTGCCATTTTCTTTCAAAGTAATTTAAAAAATGACCGTGGATATGTATTAATACTGAATTATTAATTGATAATTCGATATAATATGAAATACATTTGATAAAGTTGGATCGACTAGCAGAAGAATAGAATCGCAGTAAGATTAGCATACTTATTTTGCTAGACTGCCGATTTAATGCAATTACGATAATAATATGTAGATCAATCACAAGATTGATCTACAAACATTTAGAGAATTTAAAAACACTATTCTACTGTTTGCATCTCATTAACATTATTAAAAAAATAAATCAATGTAGCTCTCGCTCCTTGCAATTAATATTAGATCATTTTTACTTTGCATAAAGATTCGCAGTCCATTTATCATATTAACCCCTTAATGCACAATTTAAAAAAAAAAAACCGACCAAAAAAAATCAATTTTTTTTATCTAAGAAAATACATATTTGGACCTTAATTTCAATAAATATGTGAAAGAAATGCAAAAATTACTAAAAATTCAATAAAAATAGTGGATAAATAATTATAGTGAATATTGAATCGCATTGCAGATCGAATTTTGTACCCATCGTACTGTTTTTCAATTACCAGTTACTATTTTGAAGGGGAAGGAGGAGACGAAAAAAAAAACTGAAAAATATTTAATTTTACCTAAATTTGTAATAATATAATAATAATATTTATTAGCTAAAAAATATATAATAAACTAAAACTATTCAAAATTTTCTTTTGTATGGTAAATTTCAAAACAAGGTGCAGCACATAGCCCAACATTCCTTATTTCAACAT